AAATAACTTTTTTCACTTTGGATTTGTGGTAACCAAAATTAGTTTAAGAACGTACTAGGAAAGTTCCTAAATAGTGTATTTTTCCTTGTTCTAGGTAGAAACTGTCAAAAGATTAATATGTTAATGTAGAGCCAATGTTGTAGGTATGCTTTATAAGCGTCTTTAGGAACGTGGTTACTTATTTCTGCAACATTTATGCTTGTCTGTGAGCCATTGGATGTAAAAACGAAAACTATGTCATTGTAGGTGGTTTGGTTTTGGCCCCAGATTTCTGGTTTTTTTCCCTTCTGCTTATCTACCTCCCTTCTCCCCCAACATGTGTGCTCGAATCCTAGAGTTTACTCTCTGCCTTGACTTTTTAGGGACCTAGGTTCTTCTCTTTTTTAAAAACCTTTTTAAATTAAAATCAGAAAATGCCAGGATCTCAGTCATGTAAACTTGTCTTATTGCACTTTAGTATAAATAAGTTTCTGTGCCTTACTTCCAAACATTAGCATTTTAGGGTTTTTGCCCTAAATGGTGGATTTCCTATCCATAAAAGATTTTTAAATAGATTAGGAGGAATAGGGGAAAGGGGAGGCAGGCAGCAAAATCTGCCCTTTGTCCCTGAAATGATACCACCTCTGACATTTGATGATCCTTTTAGGGTCTCTGGGGCAAGTGGAAGGAGCTAGAACAATGATTCTTGTTCTTTCTGCCCATAAAGGTTCTAGTTCCACCCCAACCCCCAGACCCATCATTCTCATTCTCTCTCTTGAGAGAGAGGACAAGGGCTGTGGCTTCTCAAGGAGTCTTCTCAGGAGCTTTGGCATGTAAAGGAACCTGTCAGAGGCTGTTTTTATTTGCAATCTTTTAATAGGGCCTTAATTTCTGTTTTATCCCTTTGGTGTGCTGGCCCTTCCAGCCCCTACCTAGTTCCCTTTATCACTCCGATCATAACTTTAGCTTTCATCCCATTGCCTACCCTAAGAATAGCAGGTGACTACAAACCAGAGCTCATTTTAATAGTTTTCCCTCCTTGTACTTTGAACCTCTGGAAGTAGTTTTATTATAGTTTTTCTGTTCCTGTGGCACATGGAAGATCTAAGCGACTGGGCATGTATTCTTCAAGAACTGATAGATGGGGGGTAGGCATGAGAGTTGTTCAGGCCATTGAATCTTGGACCATGGGATAGAGATTAACAGAATGGTGATTCAGGAGGCAGATCAGGACCTTTCTAAACATCAGTGGATGTGAGAGTGTTAGATGGTATAATTTATCAGGTAAGAAGTTGACATTTGGTTGCTGGCTATCAATATTGGAGA